GGCTGAACATACTCTATAGGACTCCTACAGCCCGTAGGGCGGGCATGGGGCAGGCACGGGGGGGGGGTCCGTACCCTGGTGCGGGAGGTAGCGGAAGTCGAGGGGGGGGAGCGCTGTCGGTCGGAGGGGCGCTGCAGCTGCATGCGCACGGTGACGGGCTGGCGCAGCGCCCGCTCGCGGAAGGGCGGCGTGCGGAACACGATGGCCACCTGCCGGTGCACGTCCGCCGCCGCGAAGCTGCCCTTGGCCTCCCAGCCCTCGGCGCGGAACAGAACCTCGATGTCCTCTGGGGGAGAGGGGGGGCGTTAGGGGGTCTGGGGGGGGCGTTATGGGGTTTGGGGGGTTGGGGGGTTTGGGGGGACAGTACCTCGATGTCCTCTGTGGGGACAGCAGGGTGTTCGGGGGCGTTATGGGGTCTGGGGGGTTTGGGGGGAACAGCACCTCAATGTCCTCTGCGGGGACAGGGGGGTGTTCGGGGGGCATTATGGGGTTTGGGGGGGGTCGGGGCGTTATGGGGTCTGCAGGGTTTGGGGGGTTTGGGGGGGGTCGGGGGCGTTATGGGGTCTGGGGGGGTTGGGGGGGGTGTGGGGGCGTTAGGGGGTCTGGGGGGGTTGGGGGGGGTCAGGGCGTTATGGGATCTGGGGGGTTTTGGGGGGTTTGGGGGGGGTCGGGGGCGTTATGGGATCTGGGGGGTTTGGGGGGTTTGGGGGGTTTGGGGGGGGTCGGGGCGTTATGGGGTCTGGGGGGTTTGGGGGGGTTTGGGGGGGGTCAGGGGCGTTATGGGGTCTGGGGGGTCTGGGGGAAACACCCTCGATGTCCTCTGGGGGGAGAGAGGGGGCGTTATAGGGTCTGGGGGGGTTTGGGGGGTGTGGTGGCGTTATGGGGTCTGGGGGGGTTGGGGGGGGGGTCGGGAGCGTTATGGGGTCTGGGGGGGTTGGGGGTTGTGGGGGCGTTATGGGATCTGGGGGGTTTGGGGGGGGTCGGGGCGTTATGGGATCTGGGGGGTTTGGGGGGTTTGGGGGGTTTGGGGGGGTCGGGGCTTTTGGGGTCTGGGGGGGTTGGGGGTTTTGGGGGGTTTGGGGGCGTTATGGGGTTTGGGGGTTTGGGGGGAACAGCACCTCGATGTCCTCTGGGGGGACAGAGGGGGCGTTAGGGGGTCTGGGGGGTTTGGGGGGTTGGGGGCGGGGGGTGTGGGGGCGTTATGGGCTTTGGGGGGTTTGGGGGGGGTGGGGGCGTTATGGGGTCTGGGGGGTCTGGGGGGTTTGGGGGGACTGCACCTCGATGTCCTCTGCGGGGACAGGGGGGGCGTTATGGGGTCTGGGGGGTTTGGGGGTTTGGGGGTGTGGGGGCGTTATGGGGTCTGGGGGGGTTTGGGGGGACAGCACCTCGATGTCCTCTGCAGGGACAGGGGGGGCATTATGGGGTCTGGGGGGTTGGGGGGGGGTTGTGGGGGCTTTATGGGGTCTGGGGGGGTATGCGCCCTGTATGCACCCTACAGCCACCCTACATCCCATACCCACCCTACACCCTATACCCACCCTATGTCCTATATGCACCCTACACCCTATACCCACTCCACATCCTATATCCACCCTACACTCTATACCCATCCTATGCCCTACACCCACCCTACACCCTATACCCACCCTACATCCTATATGCACCCTATGCTCTACACCCACCCTACATCCCATACCCATCCTACGCCCTACACCCACCCTACATCCTATATCCACCCTACACTCTGTACCTATTCTACACCCTATATCCACCAATACCCACCCTACATCCTATATGCACCCTATACTCTGTACCTATCCTACATCCTATATCCACCCTATGCTCTACATCCACCCTACATCCCATACCCATCCTATGCCCTACACCCACCCTACGTCCTATATGCACCCTACACCCTACACCCACCCTACACCCTATACCCACTCCACATTCTATATCCACCCTACATCCCATACCCATCCTACGCCCTATACACACCCTACACTCTGTACCTATCCTACACCCTATACCCACCCTACATCCTATACCCACCCTACACCCTATACCCACCCTACATCCTATACCCACCCTACGTCCCATACCCATCCTACATCCTATACCCACCCTACACTCTGTACCCACTCTACACTCTGTACCTATCCTACACCCTATATCCACCCTACACACTATATCCACCCTACACCTATACCCATCCTACACCCTATACCCATCCTACACCCTATACCCACCCTACATCCTATACCCATCCTACATCCTATTCCCATCCTACATCCTATACCCACCCTACATCCTGCACCCTATACCCACCCTACGTCCTATATCCATTTTACACTATATAACCATACTACACACCCTACACCCTATACCCACCCTACATCCCATACCCATCCTACGCCCTCTACCCACCCTATATCCTATATCCACACTATACTCTATATCCACCCTACACTCTATACCCATCCTACACCCTATACCCACCCTACATCCCATATCCACCCTATACTCTATACCCATCCTACACCCTACACTCTACACCCATCCTATGCCCCATATCCACCCTATGTCCTATATCTACCCTACATCCTATACCCATCCTACACCCTACACCCACCCTACATCCTATACCCATCCTACACCCTATACCAACTCTACATCCTATATCCACCCTACACTCTATACCCATCCTACACCCTAAATCCACCCTACACCCTATATCCATCCTACGTCCTATACCCGTCCAACACCCTACACTCACTCAATGTCCTATATCCACCCTATATCCTATACTTATCCTACACCCTACTCCCTATACCCACCCTATGCCCACTCTACGTCCTATACCCACCCTACATCCTGTATCCACCCTGCACCCAACGTACACCCTATATCCACCCTACACTCTATACCCCTTATACACCCTATACCCAGCCTGCACCTTATATCCACCCTGCATCCTATATCCACTCTACACCCTATACCCATACTACACCCTATATCCTCTCTACATTCTGTATTCATTCCACACCCTATATCCACCCTACATTCTGTCTCCACAGTACACCCTATATCTACCCTACATCCTATATGTCTTATATCCTTTCTACATCCTATACTCATTCCACATCCTATATCCACCCTACACTCTCTATCCACCCTACACCTTATATCCACCCTACATCTTATACCCCCACTACACTCTATACCCTACCTTACATCCCATATCCACCCTACACCCACCCTATACCCTATATCCACCCTACACCCACACTACATCCTATACACACCCTACACCCACCCTACACCCACCCTATACCCTATATCCACCCTACACCCACACTACATCCTATACACACCCTACACCCACCCTACACCCACCCTATACCCTATATCCACCCTACACCCGCACTACATCCTGTACACACCCTATACCCACCCTACACCCACCCTACACCCACCCTATACCCTATATCCGCCCTACACCCGCACTACATCCTATACACACCCTACACCCACCCTACATCCTATATCCATCCTACACCCTACACACTATACCCACTCTGTACTCTACACCCACCCTACATCCTATACCCACTCTACATCCTACACCCACCCTACACCCACCCTACACCCTATATCAATCCTACACCCACCCTATGCCCTACATCCACTCTACACCCACCCTACACCCATCCTACACCCAATACCTACCCTATTCCCACCCTATACCCTCCCTACTCCCTATACCCACCCTACACCCACCCTATGCCCTATACCCACCCTACACCCCATAGCCCACCCCAACCCAACAGCGCGGTCGCCAGCGGGGGCGTCAGGTGGGATTTAAGGGTTTGGTGACGCGGTTGTGCTGGTTGGTGGCCCCAAAGTTGTTATGGGGTCCCAAAAAGGGTCCTCAAGGTGGTGGTGGTGGCCCCAGTATGCTTATGGGGACCCCAAAGGGTGCCCAACGTGGTTATGGGGTCCCCAATGTGGTTATGGGGTCCTCAACCCAACCCTGATGTCCCCAAGGGTTCCCCACCATGATTTTGGTCCCCAACATGGTTATGGGGTCCCCAAGGGGTCCCCAATGCGGTTATGGGATTCCCATGCAGTCTCCAGCCCCCCCAGCCCTTTGGGGACCCCCCTGCCCCTCTCTTGGTTTTACTGGTGTGACTGGGACTTACTGGGGGAGCAACTGGTGGTTACTGGGAGCGTCACCAGCCCATTTGGGGTCACTGATACATTTGGGGTCATTGACGCCTTGGGGGTCACCAGGATTTCGGGGGTCACCGGGGCTTGTTGGGGGGGGTTAGGGGGTCGTGGGGATGGGGACTGGTTCTTACTGGGACGTACTGGTGGGGACTGGGCGCAGGGGACCTGCAGTGCATCGAGGAGAAGCGCAAGCGCACGCGGGAGACGTTCCGCGCCTTCGTCCAGCGGGCGCCGCTGCCAGGTTGTGGGGTCCCGGGGGGGGGAAATTTATGGGGTGGGGGGGTCCCACAGCCCTTTATGGGGTCCCTGAGGGGGAATTGGGGTCTTGGGGGGGGACAAATCTGGGTCCCTCCCCCACCGTGGGGTGGATTTGTGGTGCTAAGGGGGGGATTTGGGGTGCTAAGGGGGTGTTGGAGGTGGTGGGGGGTTAATGGGGTTTTTGGGGGGGGTGTTGGGGTACCTACAGGGGGCTGTGGGGGTCCTGGGGGGGTTGGGGTGTCAGGGGGGTTATTGGGGTTACTTTATGGGGTATTTGTGGTGTTGGGGGGGGGTATTTGGGGTCCTGGGGGTCATTTGGGGGTCCTGGGGGGTATTTGGGGGTCCTGGGGGGTATTTGGGGTCCTAGGGGGTGTTTTGGGGTTCCTCGGGGGGGTGTTTGGGGTCCTGGGGGGGTCCTGGGGGTGTTTTGGGGTTACTGGGGGGGTATTTGGGGTTCCCGGAGGGAATTTGGGATCTGGGGCTGGGGGCCGTTCCTGGGGGGGTATTTGGGGTTCCGGGGAAGTATTTGGGGTCTGGGGGGGGTTGGGTGTTCTTGGGGGGGTATTTGGGGTCCTGGGGGGGTTGGGAGGTCCTGGGGGGGTATTGGGTTCGCGGGGGGGGGGTATTTGGGGTCCTGACACTGTTGCTGACACCCCTCCTGCCCCCCCCCAGGCCTGGAGCCCTCGGAGTCGCGGCCCCCCCGGCGCATCGCCGTGCCCTCCCGGCCCCCCCAGGCCCCCCAGCCCCCCCCCAGCATGGGTGAGTTTTGGGGGGGGGGAATTAGGGGGGGGGTTAATGGGATCTGGGGGGGTCTGGGGGTGGAAACGGGGGGGCTGGGGGGGCAAATGAGGGGGTTTAACGGGGAGGGGGGGGCAAAAGGGGGGAGGCTGGGGGTGGATATGGGGTGGGGGGGTAAATAGGGGGGGTAAAAGGGGGGGGTTGGGGGTGGAAATGGGAGTCCGGGGGGGGCAAAGGATTGCGGGGGGGGGGGGTCAAAAAGACATGGGGGGGGCACATCCGAGCCCCCCCCCCACACTTATTGCCCCCCCCCCTTGCCCCCCCCCCCAGCTCTCCCCCCTCTGGGGGCCTCCCCCGCCCCCCTCTTCCCTTTTGGGGTGCCCCCCCCCACCGCAGCCCCGGAGCCCCTGGCCGAGGCCCTGCTGCAGCTGCAGTTCGACGAGGGGGGGCCGGGCCCCCCCCCCCGCCACCGGTCCCGAAATGGGGGGCGGCGGCGGGGGTGGCCCCGATCCCGGGGGGGCGCCCCCCCCTCTGGATTTAGGGGCGCTGCTGGACGACCCCCCCTTCGACACCATCGACGCCGCCGAGCTCCAGCGCCTGCTGGGCCCCCCCGAACCCCCCCCCGCCACCGCCTCCGCCGCCGGGGGGGGGTTCGGGGAGCTCCCCCCCCTCCCGGCTGTTTTTGGGGACCCCCCCTCCGTCGGGGGGGGTGCTCCCCCCCCCCCCCCCATGCTGCTGTCCTACCCCGAAGCCATCACCCGGCTGGTGCAGAGCCAGTCCCCCCCCACCCCCCCCGGGGGGGCTCCCCCCTCGGATCTGCCCCCCCCCCCGGATTTGGGGGGCCCCCCCCCGCCCGCCGAGGACTCGCTGCCCTCCCTGGGGGACCTGGACTTCAGCGCCTTCCTCAGCCAGTTCCCTTCCACCTAACTGGGAGGCACTGGGAGGGACTGGGAGGGCAAGGGGGGGGGGGCGGGGAGCAGCTGGGGGGGGGGTGAAGGGCAACTGGAGGCAACTGGGAGTCACTGGGAGCAGCTGGGAGGGGGTTAAAGGGCTACTGGGGGGGCTGAAAGGGCTGCTGGGAGCAACTGGGGGGGCTTGACTGGTTACTGGGAGCAACTGGGGGGCTTCAAGTGTTACTGGGAGGGGGGGGAGCAGCTTCAAGGGCTACTGGGAGGAACTGGGGGGCTTTACTGGGAGCTACTGGGAGGGGGTTCGGGTGTTACTGGGAGCAGCTAGGGGTGCTTAGAGGGCTACTGGAGCAACTGGGAGAAGGTTAAAGGGCTACTGGGGGGAACTGGGAGCTACTGGGCTGGAACTGGGAGCAGCTGGGAGTCACTGGGAGTGTGGGGGGGGCTTGACAGGTTACTGGGAGCAACTGGGGGGGGCTTCAAGCGTTACTGGGAGGGACTGGAGCAGCTTCAAGGGCTACTGGGGGCAACTGGGAGGGGGCTGGGGGCAACTGGGAGCTGCTGGGGGCAACTGGGAGCTACTGGGAGGCCACTGGGGCTCACTGGGAGAGCCCCGGGGCGGGGTGGAGGGGGGGTCCTCCCCTCCCTAAAAAGTGCCTTAGGGCGGGGGGGGGACCCCAAAACCCCCCCGATTCCCCCCCCCGCCCCTTTTTAACCCCTCCCCTCCCCGAAATAAACGGCCCAATGACAGCGCCGGGATCGCTTGATTGACAGCGCGGGGGGCGGGCTCTGCGGGAGGGGGCGTGGCCTCGCCGCTGGGTGGATCCCGGAGCCGGAAGGGGCGGGGCTAAGGGCGGAAGGGGCGTTGCGCGCAGGCCGCAGCGGAGCGGGGCCCGGCGGCGGGAGCGGGAGCGGGGCCCAGCGGGGCCCAGCGGGGCCGGGGCCCGGCGGCGGGGGGTGGGGGGCGGCGGCAAAGCGGCGGGGCCGGCGCCTTGTGGCGGAGATGCCGAGCAAGAAGAAGAAATACAACGCGCGATTCCCGCCGGTCAGAGGGGAACCGGGCCGGGAACGGGGCCTGGGGGGGGGAACCGGGGCCCTGAGGGGGTCCCGGGCCCGGAACCGGCTCCGGGAGGGGAAGCGAGGCCTGGAGGAGGCGGGGAGGGCGGTGGCGGCCGGGTTGCCATGGCAACGGGGCTGCGTGGCAACGGGGCGTCACGGCAACGGGTTGCCATGGCAACGGGGGGGGAAGCGGACGGGTGGGCCCCTAGCAACGGGCCTGGAGGGAGGGGGCGTGGCCTAGGGGGAGGGGGCGTGGCCTGGAGGGAGGGGGCGGGGCTTTCCCGGGCTTGTTGCCTCGGGGAGGGGCGGGGCCTGTGCTGGGGGGCGGGGCCGTGCCTCAGTGTCCCCTGTCCCCTCAGTGTCCCCCCCTGTCCCCCGCTGTCCCCAGGCGCGGATCAAGAAGATCATGCAGACGGACGAGGAGATCGGGAAGGTGGCGGCCGCCGTCCCCGTCATCATCTGTATCCTGCCCTGACCCCGCCGTGTCCCCTCCCTGTCCCCACGGTGACCCCGCGGTGTCCCCACTGTGTCCCCGTGGTGTCCCTGCGGTGATCCCGTGGTGTCCCCATGGTGTCCCCTCCTTATCCCCTCCCCATCCTCGTGGTGTCCCCTCTGTGTCCTCTCCCTGTCCCCATGGTGTCCCCAGGGTGACGCCATGGTGTCCCCATTGAGTCCCCTCCTCATCCCCGTGGTGTCCCCTCCCTGTCCCCGTGGTGTCCCCTCTCTGTCCCCTCCCTGTCCCCATGGTGTCCCCACAGTGACCCCGTGGTGTCCCCATTGAGTCCCCTCCCCATCCCCATGGTGTCCCCATTGTGTCCCCTCCCTGTCCCCACAGTGTTCCCGTGGTGACCCCTACCTGTCCCCATGGTGTCCCCACAGTGTCCCCTTCTTGTCCCCACCGTGTCCCCACAGTGTCCCATCCTCGTCCCCTCCCCATCCCCCTGTTGACCCCATTGAGTCCCCTCCATGTCCCCATTGTGCCCCCACTGTGCCCCAATGGTGTCCCGTCCGTGTCCCCACTGTCCCCCATTTGTGTCCCCTCAGTGTCATCGTTGTGTCCCCAAGGTCCCGGGGGGTTAGGGTGGGGGTGTCCCTGTCCCCGTGTCCCCTTTTTGGGGTCCTTAGCGGGGCAGCGCGGGCGCTGGAGCTCTTCCTGGAGTCGCTGCTGCGCAAGGCGTGCCACGTCACCCAGTCCCGCAACGCCAAGACCATGACCACCTCGCACCTGTGAGTGTCCCCTGGGTGTCCCCTGGGTGTCCCCGAGGTCCCCTGGGGGTCCTCAATGTCCCCTGGGGGTCCCCGCAGTCTCCTGGGGGTCCCCGCAGTCCCCTGGGTGCTGTTGAGGTGTCCCCGTGGTCCCCAGGGTGCTGCTGAGGTCTCTCTGTGGTCTTCAGGGTGCCAGGGAGGTGTCCCCAATGTCCCTTGGGTGCTGGGGACATGTCCCCAAGGTCCCCTGGGTGTCCCCACAGATCCCTGGGTGCCATTGAGGTGTCCTCATGGTCCCCAGGGTGCCAGAACGGTTTCCTCAAGGTCCCTTGGGTGCTGGGGACATGTCCCCAAGGCCCCCTGGGTGTCCCCACAGATCCCTGGGTGCTGGGGACGTGTCCCCAAGGTCCCCAGGGTGCCATGGAGGTGTCCCCAAGGTCCCCTGGGTGCTGTTGAGGTGTCCCCAAGGTCCCCAGGGTGCCATGGAGGTGTCCCCAAGGTCCCCTGGGTGCCAGAACGGTTTCCTCAAGGTCCCCTGGGTGCTGGGGACATGTCCCCAAGGTCTCCAGGGTGTCTCTGTAGTCTCCTGGGTGCTGCTGAGGTGTCCCCAAGGTCCCCAAGGTGCCAGGGAGGTGTCCCCAGGGTGCTGTTGAGGTGTCCCTGTGGTCCCCAGGGCGCTGAGGACGTGTCCCCAAGGTCCCCTGGGTGCCAGGGAGGTGTCCCCAATGTCCCTTGGGTGCTGGGGACATGTCCCCAAGGTCCCCTGGGTGTCCCCACAGATCCCTGGGTGCTGTTGAGGTGTCCCCAAGGTCCCCAGGGTGCCAGGGAGGTGTCCCCAAGGTCCCTTGGGTGCTGGGGACGTGTCCCCAAGGTCCCCTGGTTGTCCCCACAGATCCCTGGGTGGTGTTGAGGTGTCCCTGTGGTCCCCAGGGTGGTGTTGAGGTGTCCCCAGGGTCCCCTGGGTGCTGTTGAGGTGTCCCCAAGGTCCCCAGGGTGCCAGGAGGGTGTCCCCAAGGTCCCTTGGGTGCTGGGGACATGTCCCCAAGGTCTCCTGGGTGTCTCTGTAGTCTCCTGGGTGCTGCTGAGGTGTCCCCAAGGTGCCAGAGAGGTGTCCCCAGGGTGCTGTTGAGGTGTCCCTGTGGTCCCCAGGGTGCTGAGGACATGTCCCCAAGGTCCCCTGGATGCCAGGGAGGTGTCCCCAATGTCTCTTGGGTGCTGGGGACATGTCCCCAGGGTCCCCTCAGTGCTGTTGAGGTGTCCCTGTGGTCCTCAGGGTGCCAGGGAGGCATCCCCAATGTCCCTTGGGTGCTGCAGACATGTCCCCAAGGTGCCAGAGAGGTGTCCCCAGGGTGCTGTTGAGGTGTCCCTGTGGTCCCCAGGGCACTGAGGACATGTCCCCAAGGTCCCCTGGGTGCCAGGGAGGTGTCCCCAAGGTCCTCAGGTTGTCCCTACAGTCCCCTGGGTGCTGCTGAGGTGTCCCCAAGGTCCTCAGGGTGTCAGGGAGGTGTCCCTAATGTCCCTTGGGTGCTGAGGACGTGTCCCCAGGGTGCTGAGGACGTGTCCCCAAGGTCCCCAGGGTGCTGTTGAGGCGTCCCCAATGTCCCCAGGGTGCCGTGCCCGGTGACACCCAACACTCCCACCCCCCACCCCCCCACCCCGTGCCTCAGTTTCCCCACTCCCCCCACCAGCCCTATTGGGGCAGGGGGCGGGGCTTGTCCCCAAGGGGGGTGTGGCCTAGGGTTTGGGGGCGGGGCTTGTCCCCAAGGGGGTGTGGCCTGGGGTTGGGGGTGGGGCTTGTGGCCCTTTTGGGGGCGTGTCCCGCTGAGGCCCCGCCCCCAGGAAGCAGTGCATCGAGCTGGAGCAGCAGTTCGACTTCCTCAAGGACCTGGTGGCCGCCGTGCCCGACATGCAGGGCGAGGGCGACGAGCCCCACGGCGAGGGCGAGCGGGCGCCACGCAGGTACAGGGGGGTCCCAAATCCCGGGGGGGGGGCCCGAAATCCTCGGGGGGTCCCCAAAATCCTCAGGGGGTCGCGAAATCCTCAGGGGGTCCCGAAATCCTTCGAGGGTGCCCCCTAAATCCCTGGGGGGGGTCCCTAAGTCCTGGGAAAGGTCCCTAAGTCCTTGGGGGGGGGCTAAATTATTGAGGGGGGGCCCTAAATCCTTGGAGGGTCCCCAGAATCCTTTGGGGGTGCCCCCTAAATCCTTGGGGGGGTCTCTAAGTCCTGGGAAAGGTCCCTAAGTTCTTGTGGGAGGGCCTAAATTCTTGTGGGGGGGTCCCCTAAATCCCTGGGGGGGTCCCTAAGTCCTGGGAAAGGTCCCTAAATCCTTTGGGATACCCCCTAAGTTCTTGGAGGGGGCCCTAAATTCTTGTGGGGGGGGGGCCCTAAATCCTTGGGGAGTCACCGAAATCCTTTGGGGGTGCCCCCTAAATCCCTGGGGGGGGGTCCCTATGTCCTGGGAAAGGTCCCTGAATCCTTTGGGGTGCTCCCTACATCCTTGGGGGGGCCCTAAATTATTGTGGGGGGGTCCCTAAATCCTTGGGTGTCCCCAAAATCCTTTGGGGGTGCCCCCTAAATCCCTGGGGGGTTGCCTAAGTCCTGGGAAAGGTCCTTAAATCCTTTGGGGTGCCCCCTAAGTCCTTGGAAGGGGCCCTAAATTCTTGTGGGGGGGGTCCCTAAGTCCTGGGAAAGGTCCCTGAGTCCTTTGGGGTGCTCCCTAAGTCCTTGGAGGGGCCCTAAATTGTTGGGGGGGGGTCCCTAAATCCTTGGGTGTCCCCGAAATCCTTATGGGGTGCCCCCTAAATCCCTGGGGGGTTGCCTAAGTCCTGGGAAAGGTCCTTAAATCCTTTGGGGTGCCCCCTAAGTCCTTGGGGGGGTCCCCAAAATCCTTCGAGGGTGCCCCCCTAAATCTTTGGGGGGGTCCCTAAGCCCTAGGAAAGGTCCCTGAATCCTTTGGGGTGCCCCCTAAGTCCTTGGGGGGGGTCCTTAAATCCTTAGGGGGAGGCCTTAAATCCTTGGGGGGGGGCCCTAAGTCTTTGGGCGGGGCCTTAAGTTCTTGTGAGGAGTCCCTAAATCCTGGAGGGTCTCCTAAATCCTTTGAGGATGCCCCCTATATTTTTTGGGGGGGCGGGAACCTAAATCCTTGGGGGGGGGGGGGTGTCTCTAAATCCAGCGGGGCCCTTCCCAGGGTGCTGGGGTCCCTGGGGGTCCGGGAGTTGGGGGGGGGACATAGGGGGATTGTGGGGTCTTAGCCCTAAATTTGGGGGTCCTGGCTTTGGGGGGGAGGCTGTGGGGGGGGTCCTTGGGCACATGGGGGGGCTTGTGGGGGCTTTGGGGGGGGGGCTGGGGGCTCCTTAACTCAGACAGTGGGATCTGGGGGGATTTGGGGTGGGATTTGGGGGGTCTCAGGGCAATTCTGGAGGGGTCTGGGGGGTCATTTTGGGGTGTGGGGGCTGCCTGGATGTCAGTGACCCTAACGGGGGTGTTGG